TCAAAGAATTCAGCAACCTTTATTTTACACAAATGATGCTATTTAAAAACAAAACTGAGCACTAATATAAGAAAAGTGGGTACCTGTGTAGCTGAGTTGGTTCCCACTGTCTCTGAAACCAAAAACGCCACTGGGATCAGCAGTTGTGGTTATAACCATCTGTACTCACTGCCTGGAACTGCTGAGTGACAGATGCAGGTGGGTTCCTGCATTGGGTTTTTGGAAGGGAGGCATGCATTGTGCAGGGAGAAGTCTCCTATACTTGTATTGGTGACGCCTGCTCAACGACTTTGTTAATTGTCTCCTGCTGGCCAGGTGCTGCCTGGAGCCTTCAACGTCTGCACATCTATTGAGCATTTTTCTTAAAAATGTCAGGATGGAGCTTGCACTTTCTCAGCCATCTCTCTTGTCTTGCTGGGCAGGAAAAGGCAACTGGAAAATGTCAGCCCTCCCATCAGATTGACCAGAGCTGAGGGAATAGGAAACTTCCCCCTGCCCCGCTCTTGGCTCTCAGAAATCATTAACATTTCAAAGTGGGTGATCTTTGAACCCGCTGCCTTTCCACAGCCTTTCTCTGAACTCTTTAGCATCTTTTCACCTTTTCATTGAATTGCAAACTAGTTGAAAGGCAAAACCTGTATCAAGTTTCTTATTTATGTCCCTTTTCCTGTACTGGAGGAGAGCTTTGCACAGTTATAAATACAGACCACCTCAGGGTGTGATTTAGATAGTTCTGTGGTGGGCATCTGTAGTGGTTGGTGGTGGTGGTGGTGGTTAGAATTGATTTCTCAGGAAACCAGGACTATGATGATACATCTATACTTTTCCATGGTCTGGTCCATCCTCAGAGCAGGCTGGAGAGGGGAATTTCCATGTCTTCGCTTTCTTGGATCCATGGCTATTAACTTTTAGGTCCTTTGGAACACTGCCCCTGACTCTGAAACCTGCCTCGATCTTCCACCAGCTCTGCGGTGTTAGGTGACTCACTTTACCTCTCTGAGTAAACCACGGTGTATTCCTGTAGCTCCGTTTCTATTCCAGTTGCATTGTATACATTCTTCAATGATGTTTTTCATTATTTTTTTATGTGAGGATTCAATTGGATAATGTAGAGAAAGCATTGGGTATTTAGTTTTGTGTTGCTATTATTATTTTGATGATCATCCATGATAAAGAAGAGTGGTTGCTTGAGATCTGTATTCTTGGACAGTCTGGCTGACCGTGGGTTGTGTCCTTTGGGAAGAAAACAGAGCAAACTATTTCTCTTCCTTCTTTCTTCTCCTCCCCCAGAACCCAGAACCATGAAATTAACCACCCACCAGCCAAATCAGTGAAACAACGGAGTGTGACTTATGTTTAAGACTCTGGGTCACAGACAAAGGGTCCCTTTTTTCTTCTTCTTTTTTTGTTTTTTTTTTTTGTTTGTTTGTTTGTTTTGTTTTGGTTTGGGTTTCTTTTTGGCTTTAAAGCAGCACTATTCAAGCTTCACATCTCTAACCCCACATCATCCTACTCCTCAAGCTCACTCTGCTCAGCCCAGTTTGGGTGACTCGGGGCTCACTTCCCTGCCCACCACCTCCTAAGTGATCTCTGAATGACCGCATCTTCGGGAAGGGTCCAAGTTTGAGTTGAACCCAGACCTCTGCTTTCCCAGGTGGTTTTCAGGAGCTCATCTTCCACGGGTCACAGCTCTGTGGGGCCTCTGTTTATGATTGTGGGGGGCACAGCTAAGAGGAAGGAGTGCCAAAGTGCACCTCCTAGCTTTAGGTCCACAGCCTGCCCCACTGCTGGGACCACCCTGCCCTCCTTCCCTTCCCTGGGACACCAGGTCTTATGATCATTTTCACCTGTAACACTTCTTCCACTGTCTTTTCTTCCCCTTCAGCATAATGTTTGAAGCAAGAACTTGCTTTTGCATCTTGTGAAAAATAAGAGAAAGCTTTGACAATAAAAATGTTTCTCTTTACAACACTCTGAGAGTTCTCTTCATCTTGGGATGAGTTAATGCTCTGACCTTTGAACAAGACAGCACTTTTGCACACTGAGATGCGATCATTGATTCTGATGGGGAAGGAGGCCCTGCACATTGAACTCCATAGATCTGAGTTGTCCATAGTTCAAACAATTTCTCCATCACCTTGGAGTTGCCAATATATAGATTAAAACAGTAAGAAGGTAAGCAGAAATGTAAGCTAATTCAGCCTTGGAAATAGCCGAATATTCATTTCTTCCAGGCAAGTTAACTTTTACTACTATTGACAACTACACAGAGACAGTCAAAAGCAGCGTACAGCATTTTAGTGCCTGATACCTAAAAAGTGCTCAGTAAATGTTAGCTACTATTTTTATCATGATCATCAATGGTACAATTATAATTTTATAAAACATAGTTAATTCCATATACCTGGTATAGACAATTTACAAAGCACCTGGCTGTATTTCATCTCATCTAATGCAACAACCCCTGGAAACATTTTTATCCCTGCGTCTCAGGTGAGAACACTATAGCTAGAAAGTGGCAGTTTTCGAAGACAGTTTTCTTACCTTTGGTTCCTCACCCTTTCCCCTCACCAGTCACCGAAGAGAAAACACAGGGTCAAATTCTGTTCCTGTTATCAGGGTACACCTGCTGGTTAAATTAAACGTGCATATTCTTGGGTTGGTTTGTGTCTGGACCGGAAGTCAGGAGGATGTGCTGTGTTCAGCCTCCACAGTTTTTTTGTGTCTCGAAGGCAGTCAGTCACACGGCCTCAGCACCACCTTCAGTGGGCCTGTCCATAGACTGTGGCCAAGTAACACCACCTTCTGTCTGCCTCACAGAATCCTATGTTGCTACCTAGAAAGGCACATAAAGCCTTTGTCTGCTTGACATGTTACAGGGAAATATCCTTATCAGGCTCACACACCTTGCTTGATGGAGCTAGTGAGAGGCAGCTGGGGAAGTGGGGAGAGCCTGGGCCTTCAAGCCAGAAAGGCGAAGGTGTATGATTTCGGGCTTTGAACAGTTTTGGATTCTGCCACTTGTCTCTATCTGCCACTTGTTAGCCATTTAACCTTCCATGTGTTAATTAATGTCACTGTGTCTTAGTTTCTTCATCTGTAAAATGGGGTTATTAACACTCACCTCCTAGGATTATTATGAGAATTAAAGGAAATACGATATTTACTGCTCTTAGCACAATGCCTGGCACATGGTAAGCATTCGGTGAATGATAGTTTTATCTCTATAATTTTAATTAACCTTCTGAGCCTTAATATGCACATCTGTAAATTGGGTTTGGCAAGGTGGCCATGGCAATTAGATGGTATGTATACAAATTACCCAGCGTGCTGCCTGGCACATAATTACTCTGGGCCTTCATATCTCTGTAGATCCTCCCCTGTGTTCCTAAAGCCCCTTAGTGGGTCAGTCACCCCCTCCCCTGGGCCTTCTAGTCCCTCAGAACAGATTCTGTAGCTTCTTGGTCTACCCTACTTGACTGTGAGCTTATTGAAGTTGGGCTATCTGATTCGGTTCTGGCTCTTCAGACCAGCCACAGATCCTGGCATAGAGTGGCCTTTTAGAAAGTGTTCATCAATTGAACAAACACATGATGCTACACACAGGATGCTGGGGGAGTCCTGGCACTGTAGTGCTTAACTGTGTACGTGGGGAGTCAGGGTAGCCATGAGAGTACCATCAAGGCTCAAGTCTTGAATCCTCAGATGGGATTTAAGCAGACATTTGTACTAGATTTTGGGAATAGGCTTCCTAGCCTTCTCCAGCTCTGAGGATTTTTAGGGACATGTCCATTCTTCGGCATCTTATGGACCCATCTAGATTGTTGCACAAGACTATTTAGCAGTTGCTTCCTGGAAAAGTATTTTTAAAACAGAAATACATGCTACAAAGTTGAAATGTACAACAGATATGCAGTGAAAAGTAAATCTCTCTTCTGTACCTTTCCATCTCCTTCCTTCACAGGACACACCCACGGTCACCAATGTCTTTCATATCCTACCAGAAATATTCTGTACATATATAGGAATGTTTTTTTGCCTGATGGTGGTAGTATATCAAATATACTGTTCTGCATGTTATAATTTTCCCTCCAGAGAAATACATACAAAAAACTTCCTCACTCTTTTTTTATGGTTGCACAGTATATATATATATCTAGCCCTTTATTGAGGGACTGGTTTCCAATATTTCGCTATTACAGACAGTGCTGCAGTGAATAGCCTTATCAATGAGTGTACATATATCACTTAGTATGTATGTGAGTATCTGGAGAGTGTATCTGGAGGAGAAGTTTTTAGAATTTGAAACTGATTCCAGGGTAAAGGGTATGTGTATTTTAAACTTGACAGCTTTTGTCAACTTGCCCTCCGCAGGATTTATACCAGCTTTTGCTCGCACAAGCCAAGTATGAGAGTGCCTGTTTCCTGCTCTCTGCCAACACTGTGTATTTTCAACCTTCTTTTATCTTTGCCAAACCATATGTGAAAAATAGGATTTCAAAGTTTAGCTGGCATTTCTCCTCCTGTGAGTGATGTTAAGAGTCTTTTTTGATATAATTGAGAGCCGATTGTATTTCTAGTTCTGTAAATTGTCTGTTCCTATGCCTGTTTTCCTACCAAGTTATTGGACTTTGCCTATTATTTGCAGGAGTTATTTTGATATTAAGAAAATTAACCCTTTGTGATAAAAATGGCAACTTTCCCCCTAAAGTAAAACACAAATCCCAGACCTGAAACTCCCCTCCCCTGCCCCCTCCCAGGTCCACTAGACTGTGAGTCCTCCGGGGCAGGGTCCACGCCTCGGTCATCTCTGCGGCCCCCGTCCCCTATGAAGGGCTTGGCACTGCACGAGCTCTCCTCAGGGGCTACTCGCTGAACTGAACTGACCTGAATCCCTGTGTTCCCCACCCCATTTGCCCCCACCCCCCCATGGCTTGGGAGTTTCATTTCCGCCTCCAGCAGAAAAAGATGACTTTTCTCATTGCTCACCACAGCCATGCACCTGTTTGGCCTAAACTGGCACCTGCAGCCGATGGAGGGGCAGATGTATGAGATCACGGAGGACACAGCCAGCAGTTGGCCTGTGCCAACCGACGTCTCCCTGTATCCCTCAGGGGGCACTGGGTTAGAGATCCCTGACAGGAAAGGCAAAGGAGCCACAGAAGGTAGGGTTGCTGTGTTGTCCGTGTCGTGAGTCCTCTGTGTCTGCCTTTGAACTGAGGAGACCTCCATTATGCGCGTCATGTGCCTGACTCACAGCTCCATGCTCTGTGCTTCCTCCATCCCTCTGCACTCCACACCGGCTGCCAGTCCACCTGTGTCCTCATCACAGCTCCTTGTCACTGTGAGCTCATGGCAGGGCTTGGGCGGGTCTCCTGGTGCTCGGCAGTATCCCATCTCATGCCTCCAGGGAAGCATTCTGGGCTTGCTCACTGCTGGGGTGGCCGCCTCTGATCATGTGGGATCCAGACAAGCTCTTGGGGGCAACCTCATGGGGTAAAGGGGCAACTCTGGGAGCAAGGCCTGGTGAGGTGGGTAGATGGTGTGTTGTCATTGAAATATCCTTGGACCCTTGTGGTTTAATGGAAACACCAGTTCAGGTGTTCTAGCACCTTCCAGCCATGTGACCTTGAGGAAACCTTCCAGCCATGTGACCTTGAGGAAGTCGCCTCATTTTTCTAAGCTCTGGTTTCCTCGTATGCAATACCAATAATCATTAGTGTTTGTACAGTGTGCTCATTTCAAAGATTTTTGCCAAGAGCATTTCATTTAATCCTCACGGGGATGCTGTGAGGTAAGTGAATTTGTTTATACCCATTTTAGATGCAACAACTAAAGGTCACATGAATGAAGTGACTTGGCCAGAGTCACCCACCAGGAAATAATGGAGTTTGGAATCTGAGCCCAGGTCTCTATGGCTCTTGCTCTCCCACAACTTGTCCTTCCTGACTAACCCTATGGTTACAAGCCCCTGAAGGAGACATGGATGAGAAATCCATTGTACACAGAGGCACGGATTTATTTTTCTATCATTGATGAAAATGGTGGTGGCATTTGGAGTTTGGCTTTCTTAAATGGGACAGCATTAGACCCATGTTCTGAATTTCTTAGGGGTCTTTCTAGCATGCCATCAGTACAAATTCTTTCACTGTCAGCCAAGAGTGACACAAACTCACAGAAAAATGGTACCAGGAAAGATGTCTGAGCTTATGAGCCAGTCAGGAGGTCATTCTGGGCAGGGTGGCCATCTGTTCTCCTGCCCCTGCTGTGACCTGCTCTCTCTCTCTCTCTCTCTCTGGTGTTAACTCAGTCAGCAAAGTGGCCGTAGCTGCCTCCTACCCTTACTGCTTACATCTTACCTTTCCTTTCATTTAACTTTTAGGTCATGTTTTCTGAGCTTCTCTGGCCTTTCAAGGATTTGCCTTCCACGCAACAGTTTGGTTAATAGGGTAGCATATGCTTGTTGGGGTATCTACTCATGGCCTCTGAAATGATGATCTCAAAGGCCAAAATCAACTTTTTACCTGTATTCATCTTTAAGGGACGCAAATTGGGGGTATTTCCACAGATCCAAAGCCCATCTTCTCCTTTCCAAAGGTTTTAAGACTTAAAACCTTGAATAATTTACACTTCCTTTGCCCCATATTAGGGTAGGAGGGCACATGCATAGGGTCTTGGGAAGAACTCTGGCTTAGGAATCAGGAGCCCTGAATTCAAGTCCAGCTGCCTGTGATGTCACCTTAAGCAAATCCCTTGAAAAGACCTTCTGGCTTCATTTTCCTTCTCTTTACAGGGAGGTTGTGGAGCTAGATGATCTCTAAGGCCCATTCTAATTTGCAAGTTCTACATATGAAATTAGTCATAGAATCATCAGAGGACTGACCAGATGGCTCTTCAGAATTTTTTTCGAATTGGTCCTGTCCATGGTCCTGCTTGTTGGCTCGTGATGCCCAAGCCAGTTACAGTGTCAGATGCTGCAGATGAATACCATGAAATGAAGACTGTCTTTAGATCAGCATGCACAAATGCAGACTGAAGATATGTTTAACCCTAAACCTATTGGTAAAGGGTCTCATTTAGCAAAATGTATTTTCTTCCCCCCATGATCTCTATCAAGCATTCTTTAAACAGGAGTTGGATATATCTGAAATCTCTCAGTCTAATGAAATTAGTTTGTGGGTTGTTTAGGCATGGAGCAGGAGGCACAGATAAGAGACACAATACAATTGCACCAGCTTATTGGTTTACTTTAATTGGAGTATTTTTGCTTAAAGGGATTATCTGTCATTACTAATGCAAATGGATCCTGTTTACCAACCCCTGAAATGCAATGCAGTGCTGGAAAGTGGTCAGCATCAAAAGCAATTACTGTGACAAGAAAACACACCAGTCTGGAAAAACAGTGGACAAAGCTTTCTATAGTTTACGTGAGACCACATGGTTCTTAACTTCTTTTGCCCTGGTCAAACCAATGTCTACTCAGTTAATGCTTTTAATCATGATGTTAAAAAATCGAATTCCTTAGACACATCTCAAGGGGGAAAGTTTCTAACCCTAATGTGAGTGCATATTTCCTGTCCCTTCTGAGGGTATCAAAGAAGAGAGCTGACTCCAGAATTAGGTTCAGAGACCCTGTCCCACAATGATGGGGGAAACAGTGGGGTATGATGGGAAAAGGATAAATGGGCCTTGCAGTAGACAGTCCAGGGTTTGACTCCCAGCCCTGCCATTTATCGGCTCTATTAATTCATGCCAGTTACTCCATCTCTTTTGGTCTTAGTTTCCTCATTTGTAGAACAAGGATGATACCTATTTTTTCAAATGCTAGTGGTGAAGAGGCATTCCACAAATCCTGGTTCCTTTCTTCTTGTCTATTCAAATTCAAAGTCATTCCATATCAGTTATTAGAATCTCAGAAATCCAAGCTGATTAACATTTTATCCTCAAAGATCCTGCAGAGGATCAGGGCATTTTTGAGTATTATTTAGTAATGCAAATAAAACACATGATGAAACAGTATTTTAAATGTTCACCATGTCTTTGAGAATAACATCAAACTGCAGTATATGCTATATTTTCAACATGGCTATAACCATTTCAGGGTTGTCATAGGATAGAAACCAAATACAACAGCTTTTGCAAGTAAAGCCACAAGAACTTATGTTATGCATTAATGGAGAAGGGGGGAAAAAAAGCCATGAATAAACAAGCATTTCTGATGGTTGAATTGGTGGGCTAGGGATAGCATTTTCTTCTTTCTGCAGTGAAATCAGAATTGCCCATCAGTTTGAACCATGCAAATTGCTGCATGCAGGCTCAGCTGGGCTCTCCAAAATGAAACAGCTTATTTTGATAACCAAATAAATTTCAAACAGTTGCTAAGGAAACTAAAGGATCCTTTGTGCAAGTTATTGCATTGAAAAGAACAAAAAAGGGTAGAAGGAGGGTGGGGCATATTAGTTGATTAGCAATTTAGAACTGAGTTCAGGAAAGTAACTGGGCAGTGTATGAAATTTCAGTTCTTTCAAATATTACACATTTTACTGAGCTATCCAATCATGTCAGAAATTTGTTGAGAAATTTATTTTATAAACATGATTGTGTATTTGCACAGCATTGCTACAGGAAGCCTGAATTTGTATATATTTACAAAGAAAAGGGCCAATGTCAGTAGAATCTGCCTTGTGAAACCTAATCGTGCTGTTGGTGGTCCCTAATCCTGAGTTAAGTACTTTGAGCAGTGGAACAGTGTCCTTCTTATGAATGTCCGAGATGCTGACTGTCACCTTTTAGGGCTGTTTGCAGGTCCCGAGTTCATAAAAATTGTCAACTTCTGGTACCCCAGGATGCCCGCAAGTTTGTCACTGGGCCTTAGATCTGCCCGCTCCGGCAAGTTTGACACTGAGCCTTGGATCTGCCCGCTCCGGCCTTGCTAGTTAGCCTGTAGGGACTGTGCATTAAATTGGACTCTTGCCCTTAAAGAGGGTCAGTGCACTCTGCCCCCATCGAGAATGTCTTTGAAGAGTTGTGATTAACCATTCATCAGTGTCATGCTCTAAGAAGCCATATTCTAATAATAAAAGCGAACTCCGAATGGGTTCATCTCCCAGTGTTTCTTAAGCATTCTGAGCCTCAGGATATACATTTCAATCATGTGAGAATTAACTGACCTAAGATACGTGAAATTGCCCACCATGTAGTTAGAGTTCAATACATGGTAGCTAAAACTACTACCTCTACCTTCATTACTATTACCATTACTTTATTATTATTATTATTATTATTATTATTATTATTATTATTATTTTCCAGAATGTCATAGGGGTAAAATGAATTTTATACACAGGCCTTTTCTCCTCTGGTTGCCTCTTCCCTCTCTCATTTCTCCACCACTGCTGGGTTTTGCTGTGTAGTAGGATGTTTTCTTTCCTAATGCTCACAGCTCAGTGCTCAGAATTAAGAGCAAAGAATCATGGGTTATGGCTTCTGGAAGGAAGACGGGGTTTTTTCAAGGCAGGAAAGGATGGGGTGGTTTCACTCTGAACAGCCCTCAGCCCAGCCAGTCTCACGCCTCTTTCCCATCAGGCCCAGGACCCAGCAGGCTGCAGCTCTCCCCCTAGAAAAGCCCCCATCTCATCCAGGGCACCTCTGGGGACCAGAGGGGAAGAAGAATAATAGAGGTTACATTCCCAGTGGGGGACCTCTTTCCCCTCTCAAACACGGCCTTTCAGCTGGGTTGTGGCCCCTTCCCTAAGTATCTCAACAAAGTGACTTCTGGTCCAAGGTCACTTTTGAACCAAAGCTCCAGAGTGGCCCTTACAGTCTCAGCCAAAAAAAGTCAAAGTCTTGGGGCGGAGTGTGGGGGGTGCCCAAGACCAGAATTTACTATTTTGGTTTCTTGTATACACACCAAAGACAAGTTCCCCCTATTTTGGCATCTTTGATGAAATACTAGAGTGCTAGAAAAGAATATTCCCCTCCCTTTGCCCCTCCCTCTTTTGGAGTAAGAGCCAACTTATTCGTGCCCCTGGGCCAGCAGATCTCTTGAGAGTCTCTGGGCTTGGCCCCTGACCTGTGAGGCTAAAGAAGGAGCTACTACAATAGCCATCTCCTGCAGACATGCTCACTGAAGGGAAAATGAATTATGCATGGTTTCCCAACAGCGTGCCGAAATGCGGGAGATGTTCTTGTTATTTATTCTCAGACATACAAATTAGTGGGAGGCAGACCCTTCTCTGCTCTCACCAGCTCTAACTCACACCCACTCACAAAAGAAACGAGTCCTTAGAATTAGCAATTTCGTGGGTTTTTTTCTCTGCAGTTTCTAGGAGTAAAAAGCCCAGAACTCATCCCATTTTTGTTTCGTACTCCCTCAGACTTCTGCTTCCCTAGCAGAATTAGAAGCTCAAGGGCATACTATTTTCTACCTGGACTATAAAAGGATTGTGGTATTGGGAAACCAGACATCAGATAAGGAAGAATGGGAAAGTAATTCTCTTCCATCTTAATGCTTTTCGAATTTGGCTTCTGTCTTTGAACTTTGAACCACTGCATGGTGGTTTGTGTGTGTCTCCACTTTCAAGGTAAAAGTCTGGGGCACGTTGCTTCCATATAGGAATTAAATGCGAGCTCTTCCCCATGCCAATGACAGAATACTAGTGGTACTTTTATTGAGAGCATGCATTTTAACTTTTTTTTGTTGGCATATATTTAATTAAAATAACATTTAATGGTTTGAAGCTAAAAACCTGATGTTTCTGCCTGGGAGTTTATAAGGGAATGATAACATATGGAGAAGTTTAACATTTAAATTGAATTGTATTATTTAAAACAGCACAATATTTTATGACTACAACAGTGCCCTGCCAAGCTCCATTTCAGCATAAAATGTGCTTTGTAAGGACTCTTACAAAACTAGGGGGAAAAGACGCTTTAATTTCCTATTCCCCAAATGTTTTTCATAAAAAGTCCCCAGAAACGTGTTTTCTTTACAAATGGATTCTTGTTCTCTAAAGTGTCTCTTCCAACAGCTCTAACAACACAACAGGCTTGGAACTAGGATGCCTGGGGGTGCTTTCTAAGGACAAATAAGATGTTGACTTGGTTTTGGCTTGTCATCATCCTAAGGGTGGTCTCCTTACATCCCTAGAGTCTCCTGCTCCCTCCCAACTCCTCAGAAGGCCAAGGTCTGGCAGGAAGTGAGGGTTTATATTTTTCACATGTGAATGTGTTTAATTACTAAATAGAGGAAGTTTGATAAGTAGTCTTCCTTCCTGGCACTTGGGGTGCCTCCAGAAAGCTGTGACTCTCCTGATTGGTGACAGAAATAATCAAGAGACCTTACTCCTAACCACCACCACCCCCCACTTCCCTGCAGCCTGCAAGGTTGGGGGCCTGGGTCAAATTTCCAAGCATGTCATAGCCTTTGTGCCTGAACTTGAGAAATTCCTTCAACTTTACCCTCTTTAGCACAGAAATGATATTCAAAGACCTCCCATCCTAGACAAAGAAGCATTTTTCCTCCCTCTTCCTCATCTTCCCCAACCCTACCCCTGCTCCCAACAGAAACCCCATCCACATATCTCAGCCTCAGAATTTGAATTCCAATTATATATAAACTAGTGAACTTGTCAAATGCCTTACTCCACTCGGGTCCTGCTTCCTACTGCCGGGAGGACCATTCTTAGTTGGGAATTGAATAACAGCACCTTGTTTCCTCCAGCCTTTCTATTTTAGCATGCACACTTTCACACACACACACAGAGTTATTCTCATGTGACAGCAAATGATTATTTTTAGGATCAAAATATATCTTAACAAGCTGTGGAATTATGCAGTAAACAGATGGCCCTTGGGGAGGACGCACACTGCTTTGGAGGAATGAGTATTTTTAGCAAAACAATTTGAGTATCACTGGGAAAACGTCTGGACACTCTTACTCTTCAGTAGGGGTGTTGGGGGGCGGGGGGTAAGGGGGTGGCTGGCAGCAGACTGTTGTAGCGAGGAGTACGAGGCAGAGGGGCGCCCTGCTCATGTGAATGCACTAATCGCTTGACTCACCTGTGTCTAATCGTGATGTTTTGTCTTCCCTTCCCTGTGTCTTGGTAGGAAAGCCCAGTAGTTTCTTTCCAGAGGACAGTTTTATAGACTCGGGAGAAATCGACGTGGGGAGACGGGCTTCCCAGAAGATTCCTCCCGGCACGTTCTGGAGATCTCAGGTGTTCATAGACCACCCCGTGTATCTGAAATTCAATGTGTCTCTGGGAAAGGCGGCTCTAGTCGGCATTTATGGCAGAAAAGGCCTTCCTCCTTCACACACGCAGGTAACCAGAATCCCACCCGCCCTGCTGACCTCCAGGGCTCCTACCTCAACTCTTAACCCACAGACAAGAAGCCTAATGCTTAAGCCTGCATCCTTCAGCTTGAAGGGAATTTTATATATTTACTAGAGGTGGGGTCCCTCGGCCTGGGCCTGTGGAGATTGCGCTGAAACTGGCTCTCTGACATCCCCTGAGGGGTCCTGGATTGTGAGAGGGGCACAGGCCCAGGTCGAGGGACCCCACCAGTGCACTTTCGGGGCTGGGGAGGGATTGCAGGAGGGCTCTAGGGCGTGTTCGGCCCCGTCTCTCCCAGTCCTGATCAGCTGGACCCCAGCAGCAAGCTAACCTATCGGTTGGAGTGCCTGCCCCTTGGTGGTCAGTGCACGGCATAGCGACTGGTTGAATGGTCAAACAAACGGTCGGACACTTGGCATATTAGGCTTTTATTGTATAGGATAACCCATTCATCTATTTACCTTCTCTCAGACCCCCTGCCTTTCAGATGAGTAGGGTTATATCCCTGGGGCTTTTTAAGGGGAGGGAATTCTGGGAAATGTCGCATTGCCTTCCTTTTCTCACCTAGTCTCCTAAATTAAATTCTGGGAAATATAATCTAGAGGAAAAAATGTGTGCACTTTGGAGTCAGGCAGACCTGAGTTTGAATCCAACAGACCTCTCATTATCGGCTGTGAAACCTGGAGCCTGTTATCCTCTCAGAGCAATTTCCTAATCTGTCAAGTGGTGAAAACAAGACCTACACTGCAGGGCTGTTCCGAAGAATAAGGAATAGCATTTATAAGGCAGCTAGTGCAGGGCCTGGATCCGAGTACATGTTATTTCCCGAGTCTCGGGCATTCTTTCTCTCCTTCAGAGTTTCACATTTACTCAGACATATGCATGCCCAAAACACTTCATAAACTCAGCCCAGATGATTGACATATTACCAGTCACGATGGGTAAAGAACAGACTTGTAAGGCCCTCCCAGCTCTGGGATTAGAGTATCATATATCTATAGGCATCCAGCAGACATCCCCAGGCCAAATGCAGTCTCCTAGCACCAGTCATTAAGGTTTTTAGGTAACAGCTAGATAGATACATTTGCTAAGGATGGAGTCACAGGAAAATAGAGAGAGCATGGCCCCTGATTTCTTTGTAGAACTGAGATGCTAGCCCTAGATCAGTGATGACGAACCTTTTGAGCTCGGCGTGTCAGCATTTTGAAAAACCCTAACTTAACTCTGGTGCCGTGTCACATATAGAAATTTTTTGATATTTGCAACCATAGTAAAACAAAGACTTATATTTTTGATATTTATTTAATATATTTAAATGCCATTTAACAAAGAAAAATCAACCAAAAAAATGAGTTCGCATGTCACTTCTGACACGCGTGTCATAGGTTTGCCATCACTGCCCTAGATTCATGCCTTCAGACATTTTTTATGAGATAGAATAAATATCTTGGTTTTTTTTAAAAAATATGGACCTGGGGAACATTATACTAAGCGAAATAAGCCAGTCAGAGAAAGATAAATATCACATGATCTCACTCATTTGTGGAACATAATGAACAACATAAATGAATGAACAAAATAGATCCAGAGACATAGAAGCATTGAACAGACTGACCAACCTCAGAGGGAAAGCAGGGGAAGGGGGAGGGTAAAAGATCAACCAAAGGACTTGTATGCATGCATATAAACATAACCCATGGACACAGACAGTAGGGGGTGAGGGCATGTGTTGGGGGGTGGGAACAGCCCAGGAGAGGTCAATAGGGGGAAAAGGAGACATATGTAATACTTTAAACAATAAAGAATTTTTTTAACAAAGAAAGAAAAATAGATATATAGAGAAAGAAAGAAGGAAAAAAAGACAGAAAGCTCAATTTGCTTGCTAGTAGGCCAGTAGGACTTAACCATCTTCCTGTTGTTAACACCATGTGTCTGACTTCTCTTGAGTCTCATACTAGCAGGCTCGGATCGATTGGCAATTGTGTTTGACAGAGCATGTAATTATTGATAGAGTTTTGAGCTAATCCAGTTAAAACTGCTCCCTGAAACTGAAGCGCTTAGACAGGATCATTGACAAAAAGAAGATAGATATAAATGAACTTTCATTTGCACTTGACTGACATTTAAGGCACATCCAGGGCTCCAGTCCCAACCCTGGACCCCTTGGGGTTCCACGGAGTTGGGAGTTCACTTGTTAAGTGGCAGGGTCTGATCACATGCCCACCATTGAAAAAGCTTGGTTGTCCTGAGCCAGACTCAGCCAGAGGAAGACTTACCACACGTACACCAACATTAAAGCAGAATGAGGCCGGAAAAGAACCCACTAATTGTGCTGCACCCACAAAGAATAAGCAGACTATTGCCCTGAGAAAATGGGGTCTGGGGAGGACTTGGGGGTGGTCCATCAAGCTTCACATGGCTTTAGCCTCTCTTGCCCGTCTTAGGTGTGTTCCCTGGGTTCTCCACAGGAGAAGCCTGAAGAAAGAAGCCAGCACTGTGGCAAAGCAGATCTGCTACTAACCATGCTCTCTCTGTACTTCAGTTTGACTTTGTGGAGCTGCTGGATGGAAGGAGGCTCCTGACCCAGGAGGCACGGAGCCTGGAGGGGCCCCAGCGCCAGTCCCGGGGAGCCGTCCCTCCCTCCAGCCACGAGACCGGCTTCATCCAGTACTTGGATTCAGGCATCTGGCACCTGGCTTTTTACAATGATGGGAAGGAGTCGGAAGTGGTTTCATTTCTCACCACTGCCATTGGTAAGGAACCGCCACCCTCTGGGGTCTGTGGGGTGTTGTCTCTTTGCGTGAGAAGATGCTCAGGATGCTGGGAGCTAAGGCTGACGGGGGGATGTGTCCCGCCCAGAGCTGCAGATGCCACCTGCCCTCTGGCATCAGGCCATCTGACCTGTGGACAGTGAGACGTAGGGAGATGAGAGAAGGGGGTGCCAGGAGGGGCCGGAAGGCCACTCTGGGCTGGGCCCTGAGCCCAGGCTGTTGCCCACTGCCTTCCTTGTGTGGTCTGTGTGTGGATTGTAGATCTGTGTGTGGACCAGCAGCTACATTTAAAGTCATGGGTGGGAGGGGGACTGACAGTGACATGGGAACCCTGGATGACCTTCCACATGGAGGCAACATTTCTCTTCTTGAAACTTCTCCAACGCCTTCATTTTTTTTATTGTCTCCCTTGGTGCAACTTACTGATTTATTATTTGGGTTTTTATGGTAGTTTTTGGTTTGTTTGTTTGTTTTTTGTTTGTTTTTTGTCTGTTTTGCTTTGGGATCCACCAATCCCCGGCAGATGAGAAAACACAGCAAAGGCAGAGAGACAGATAGACAGACAGACAGAGAAGGATGGTGCAAAGGGCTGGATGACCAATGTCATCAGTCAGGTTGGGGTTTTGTTGGGAACAGAGATGTTCTGTTCTCCAGCAGAGTGAGCCCTGGTGTTTTAAAGGAGTGCTAACACCTTCGCTGCTGTCCGTCCCTCGCAGTGGGAGGGGGCACAGCTCCCAGTTCCGAGTGAGCTGAGGCCCCTCCCAGGCCTGTGGCCATCTGGAAGCCTGGCATCCTTGTAAGGATGTCTCCTCTTGACCCTCACATTCCGTGGAACGTGTCCCCTCCTCCCATTGCCACAGTGTGCTGCAGGACCCAGTGGTCAGTGGTTCAGGCAGAAACCAATTTTTCTGAGTCTGTGTAGGAAGGGCTGTGCCATAGGCTGAAGATAAACATTTCCTACGAGAAAATAAAACTTCAGGAAAGACAAAACCTCACTAACCAGACCCCTTGGGAAGGAGGCTTCTGCTTAATGCAGGGTCTGTGTGGCTGGGAGTCCACCTCAGAACTGTCTCAGTCCTCGGTGGGGAGTCCCTGACGGGGAAAAAGGAGTTGAATAAAACCTCTGAACCTGGTCCTTGGTTTCTAACACTCTTGCAAGGCCCTGGTTCTCTCTTCTGAGCAGTAGTAGTCATTTCCCGGTCACCTCTCTCTCATTCGCAGTCTTGCCCTTAGAGTTGAGGCCGAGAATATCTCTCCGTTAAATGCGGGCTTGATTTTTCAGCCTCTGCAAAGCTGTGGTCCCAACAGTCCAGCCTGGCTAAGTTCCCGGGGGCGGGGCCATCGGGCTCCTCGGCTCTGATGTGGGAAATGCCACTTGGCTGTCCTTGTTTGGAAGGGTCTGTCCCAGCTGCTGGTCTCCGAGTGTCTGAAGGACAGGGACTCTGACATTATCTTCTCTGCCCCCCAAGACCCAGCCAGACCTCGACAGCCGGCGTCACTCAGTCTCTCAGGATGAGCGTGAGCGCGGCCTTTCCTCTGTTCGGCCAGCCGTTGGCAGGACGGACCGCAGCCGCAGCCCAGGCCTGCCGGGTGCCGTGCTGTGCTTTCTCCCTGCGTGCTGCTTTTGAGGGAGAGGGAAAGTTCTGAATC